AGCACGTGCGCGTCTTCCCATGTTCTCATGCCACCCTACGCACACGCACAGCGGAATCTCTTCGTAAATTGGGGAAGATCTGATTCGATTTCCGATCACATCATCGAGCACGGATCTTGAGAAATAAGAGGAGAAGGCAAGGCTTACCTATGGTCATGTCGAAGTCACGATGCTTGAGCTCCCGGTACTCCTGGCAGAGGGCGCAGGGCTCGCAGCAGCAGTGGACGAGGCAGTCGGCGCAGGGGCTCTCCGGCAACGAGTACTGAGCCCTCATCTTCGACCGATAGCAGCATGAGTACACCCAGTGGAAGCATGTGAGGTACTCCAGCAGACAATACAACGCCCCGCTCGTGCCGCAAGCTGCACTCCATCAAAAGACACCCTCAACGCGACGCTGACAGCGGTTAGCATGGATGCTAATAGCAGAGGAAGAGGACTTACAGGCCGATCCTTGGTCTACGATCTCGGCGATGCGGCCGAACGTGACACACGGGCAGAAGCACGTCATGCAGCCTTCATCGATCGGTACAAACACCAACATGATCAACAAAAGAATAGCGACGTCCGACGATTACGATAAAGAAGCGTGGTCAAGAGCTTACAATTGCCGCAGTCGTCGGTGCAGTCGCAGAGGCCGGTGGACCACGGCTGAAGACCCTGATACGGAGGAGCTGTCACCGGGTGGGGGAATCCCATCGCCGACGGCGGCGGAGGCGGCACATATTGGCTGGACGGCGGGTAGTACTCGTTTGGCTTGGATGGATACATGGCTGCGACGACGACGCTGGAGACGTGCAAAGGATTGTTTGGAGAGCAGACGGCATACTGCTCTCTTTGTAGACCACAATGTCATCGTTTCAAACGATGACTCGTCTCGCCGACGCGGTTGCTTGAATGAACCAAGAGAGAAGTCCTCCTTGCCGTCCGCAATGGACATTGTTAGCTCATTCAATAGGGTGTGGTGGGATAGTTTTCTCTTTCGGAAAAGCGACCACCCAAACGTATTCAGATTTCAAATACAAACCGGATTAAAATCCATTAGAATATTCTACATTGCATAGACGACTGGGTTGGGGGGAACGCGTCTTCGACGTCCATTGAAATCTTCGTTTGGAATCGTCTCGTCAAAGTTGGTGATGGTGATGGAGATGATGATCGAGGTTCGCACGCCATCCTGAGGTGCCACGAACCAACGTGCCAACTAATACAAGAATTGGTTGTGAATTTATATGAAATAAAAAATATATCATAAAAATCTCATTTAAATTATATATTAATTGATGTTATGTGATCTGTAAGAAATCAGGACAAAAAAATTAATGTCAGGACACTCATTTCCTGAAACGATCTTGAAAACGTGTTGCTATAAATCCGTAATCACAGCCATCTCATCTGAATGTAATGGTTAAATTTTTTTGTGTGTAATATAGAGTGAATTAGAGTGAGAAATAATCATTATATATTCATTCTAAACCTAATTATAATCGATTTTAAAAATAATTATATATTTAAAATAAAAAATTGAAACTAAATCATGTAAGATTATATAACTAATCATTATATATTTATTCTAAACCTCGATAAAGTTGGTTTTCAAAAATGATAATGAAAAAATGTCAACTCATTGGCCCTTTTAGCGTTTTTCAAAATCAAGAATCGAAACTAAATAATATAAGATAGGTTATAGAACTAGAACTATCGATACTAGCTTGAGCGGTTCCGATTCAGATTCAAATCATATTTTTTATTTTTTATTTAAAATAAATTATGAGGTGAATGCTTTATTTTTGAATAATTTTAGCTCCTCATGATGATCACACATAAAAAAAAAAGTAAGGCACTCAAATTTACTACAATATCCTCTATGTATTTTTAAGTCCTGAAAATTACAAACATTACATCGATTAGCTTCCGTACTAATAGTCTGTGACCGTGATAGAGGGACCTAATCTTCTCAGACTTAACCTGAGTTGAAGTTGTTAGTGAACTTTTGTATCGTGATCGAAGAGTTAGCACGGCTTAGTCGAGGTGTTCCTGCACACAGGCCTTGGTCGAGGTGTTCCCGACTTGGGTCCCTTGAGGATTAAGTCAGTGGTCCTTTTCTCTTACCCCTGGCGAGAAAAGGATAAGATGAAACTTTTGTACCATCCACGATAGTCGACCCCCGAGTGACGAAACGGTACTTTTGTATGGGTGCCGCCTGATATGCGTGGAACGACGTCATATGACGTGGTCCCAAGCTTTTCGGGACGAGACTTGCCGAGGGAACGCCTCCTCGTACGGGTTTCAATTCGATGTGGAAAGTCAGACCTCGTGCTGACTTAATAGAGGCATGACGTATCGTGGGTCGTGACATGATCGATATCCAAAATATGCACTATTAGAAGTCATGGGGTCCGATCTTTTATGGGGCTATCACACGATCGTTACAAGCTTATGCTTTCTTGCATCATTACCTTTTTTTTTTTTTTTTCTTTTCTCTTCTTTGTTTCTTCACTTCCTTGGTAAAGTTACTCGTGATGTAACCATCAATATTTCAGCTGTTCAATCTTATCATGCGAATTCTGGCGGCCGCACTCCAACATTGTCTACCTTATTCTTTCATGAGCTATATTGATCATTGTGTCCCATCACCCACCCACCAAACACCATGCTCGACTCATCTCTCTCTCTCTCTCTCTTCTCTTTTATTTAGTTTCATGACTCGAGATAACCTGCTCTCTATTCTAAATGAACTTCTCCATTCAAAGCATATATTGCAGTACTTTTCAGCAAACAAATAACTAATATTTGTTGCCGTCCCATCTTCCACTTTTGAAATAATTTGTTGACTTTATTTAGTCATTTTTTGGGTGCTTGAACTTATTTTTCTTTTCTTTCATTTATGATAACGTGCCGGTGAATAGAAAAATGCTCGACATCATTGTTTATCGTTAGATGATTCGATCTGCGGACAACAAGTTTCACCAAATCAGTACCATATGCAGTAGTTAAAATATGAAGCACTTAAGTCTTTTGTCGCAAAGGATTGTTTCGAGACACCAATTTACTTGTACGTAATATTATTGCATCGTTCAACTTGTCATTGTTCTTTGACAATGACAAAGAGACACTACAAGAGTTTTACGTGTGATGATGATAGACAAATAATTACATCTTCCGTGTTGATGCACTTGTCGATTGTATTCTCATATAAGTTCCTAAACAGATATAATGGCTTTAATTCAATCAGTGCTTTTGGATTTATTATTTTTGACTCAACTCTTAAACTAACTTAAGTATCAAAGAGACTAAATACATCTTGAGTTTGATCGTTTCTAACGTCAATAAAAGATAAACGATTGATATCGAATTAGCATCCCCATCAATCAATCAAATATTGTTGATGAGTAAACGGATGGACATGTAATCGAGATCACCCAGTGATGGTGCTATGTGAGAAGTTGATGACTGCTGCCCGTGGTTTCATCACCTAAACATAGAGACACTATTTAATTGGTTCCGTGAAGAACACGCGCTTGACAATGACTCGCACTGCAACTGCCACTGCCTGCTTTGATTGCTTGCATGCATGCATGTTCGAAGGACCTCAAAATATTTTAGCTTTTAACTTCTTTTCGTCACATAGTTAAATATATAAATGAGATTGCATGCATGCATGTCTAAGATCAAGCACCCAAATTTCTCTACTCGACTAATTTATGGAGTGGGTAGCTGGATCTAAGTTCCGTAGAAGCATCATAATATTAGATTTTGATTGTCTTATCTAAAGAGTTACTCAAATTCAACTTTTTTTTTTTTTAGAAAATCGTTGATAAAAAAGGTCATTGAATCTCTACTCATTGTAATGTCTATTCTAAGCCTAATATCGAGTTCGTCGTGAATCATACATGTTAGAACTCCTTCTGATTTAGTGAATTATTATGAAGTCATTTGACTTATCGACTATGGATATAGTAAACTACTACATCACAGTCTCTAAACGATATAGAGGAATCCAATTAATTAAATCTGTATGTTCTTAATGAGAAAAATCAAAGATATAGTTATGAATTTATGACTGATCTAATTTGTAAATGATAGGTGCGACGAATTTGAAGCTCATGCGGTCACTTCAGACTTCACCGATCAACAATGGAAGTGTTGGCCACGTATTATATTGCTAAGGTGTCCATCATGATATTGATAATCCAACACGTGTCAGTCAATCTAGCTTTATACCGAACGGCCCACAACCTTGGCCATGTGCTCGTCAACCCCAAATGGCCACATCCTTCTGATGCTCGTGTATACCGAGTTGTCAAGTTGGCCTTTTCTTTTGTCTTCGTGTCCGAGTCTTCATCCAACAGCTCTGCTGGCAAGCATTAAGCCCACCTTTTGCTGAGTGGCGCGCATGCCCGCACTGTAGCCTCGTGGCGGCCACGCGCCCGTAGCGAGTGGCGCAAGTCAATGGCTTCGGACATTTATGAAGGTGAGCTCACGGAGGAGACGATAAGATATTTACTTGTTCTTCATATTTCAACTTTGTGACCCCCAAGTTTCCTAATTTTTCTAGTGTGTTCTGGAAAATTGGTTGTGTTGGTCGATGCACAAGAACACAGTTTATGTTCGCTAATCTAATACTATATTGCTCTCGCTGTAAAAAATCCATCAAATATATCGAGGTTATGTACAGGAAATTCCACTGAGAAGGTTTAGATATGCGACAAAAGAAAGAAAGAAAGAGAGGTGTACTCAAAATCCACTGGGCATGTGCACAGTGACTCAAACCAATGGAAAACCTCCCAAATGCTCACTATGATTGTCATGTCTTAGATAATAACTAATAAAAATTCAAGTCACTATTTTTTGGTAATAGAAAAATACTTTTTTATGGGCAATGAATTGGAAAAAATCTTTAAAAGAAGATGGCACTATGGTAATAAAGTCACAATATTGTGTCTTATTATCTGACTTCACAATATAAGAGTTCCCCGTCCCACGAATTCGACCTCGATCTCTAACACCGCCCTCTCGAGCATTGGGAAGGACACGAGAAAACGCAGAACCAGAGATCCATCTAATGGCGCCGGAAGACGGATGGGCGGTTGGCCGAACCACGTCATCGTCGTCGTCGCCGGTAGCGACGGAGAAGCTGTTGGCGCAGCACAAGGAGAAGCACTTCACGGCGGGGGACATGGTGCGGGACGTCATCATGGGCGTCTCCGACGGCCTCACCGTCCCATTCGCCCTCGCCGCCGGCCTCTCCGGCGCCAACGCGCCCTCCTCTCTCATCCTCACCGCAGGCTTCGCTGAGGTCGCCGCCGGCGCCATCTCCATGGGCCTCGGCGGGTCGGTAACTTCTTCCGCCGTCCCCTTCTTGGCTGTTGCTTTAATGATTTTACTCGATCATATACATATACTTTTTCCGAATATAACAGTAATTTATTGCGTATATTTCTTTCACCATGTTATTATCCGAATGGAACGTACGGCTGATCGTCTCTCCACGTGGCAGGTACCTGGCGGCCAAAAGCGAGGCGGATCACTACATGCGGGAGCTGAATCGGGAGCAGGAGGAGATCATCACCGTCCCCGACACCGGTAAGTGCAGCTACGCCGTCCCATCAGTATGGGCCGTTAGATGCTGATCAGGCGGTGGTTTCGTGATCGCAGAGGCAGCGGAGGTCGGCGAGTTACTGTCGCAGTACGGCCTGGAGCCGCACGAGTACGGTCCGATCGTCAACTCGCTGCGGAAGAAGCCACAGGCCTGGCTCGAGTTCATGATGAAGTAAGTGCTCCTCGTGAAATTTCTTTATAGAGGCATCATTTGGTGTCACTAATTTGTGGTTTCAGATTTGAGCTTGGATTAGAGAAGCCAGACCCGAGGAGGGCACTAGAGAGCGCAGTAACGATCGCTGTGTCGTACGTGGTGGGCGGCATGGTGCCCCTCCTGCCCTACGTCTTCATCCCCACCGCCCTCCAGGCCATGTTCACGTCCATCGGCCTGACCCTGGTGGCGCTGCTCTTCTTCGGCTACATCAAGGGCCGCTTCACCGGGAACCGCCCCTTCCTGAGTGCAGTCCAGACCGCCTTCATCGGCGCGCTCGCATCCGCCGCCGCCTACGCCTTGGCCAAAGCCGTCCAAGCCGTCTGAGGGCCGCCCTGCACGCGGTGCGCGGCTCCTGTGCACCCCTACGTATGGCCTTTAGGCTTGAAGGTGCTTGCCGCTTGGAGTGTTGTTTCATCAGGTCAGTTGATTCCGTAATTTTAGGCTATGATATGTAAGATTACACCATGGGATGTAGTCTTGGTGCTTTTGTAGTTGACAAGTAGGACAACTCTGTTCTTGGCTATCGTGGACAAAATAGACAGCTATATTAGCCTTTTGCTTGGACTTGGTATCTCAGAAAATAAACTTATGAATGAAGGATTACCAAAGCGACATGTGATTTGCAAAGTAGGGGATGATAACTTATCGTATTCATCAGGACATGGCCACCTCAACAGAATATTTTGAGTTGGGAGCTCCACTGAAGAACATAATTAATTTATTGTCTCTGGCAGTGCACATACGAACAGAGGGTGTGTCTCAATGGATCTCTGGCTTTAACTGTGAACATATCTTGTGGCCTTTTCTGGTGAGAATCTCATCCCAATGCCGCATGCATCACGTGAAGAAGATGACTGTTCCTTATTTCAGACAGAAACGTCAAAGCAGACAGCAAAGAGGCCTCAAGATGAATGATGTCTCTTCATGGTGGCCTGACCTTTCATGGACAATAACTCTACGTTGACTTAGCAGAATCCAACACTAGTATGGCCATCGGAGACTGGTCAAGTATGACAAGCCGCCCTGTTTCTCATCCCAGTTCGCGTTAAAAGTGACCCACTCCAACCCTATTCATTCGGGCTAAAGCCCAAGTGTCGTAGTCAGTGCTAATCCCTCCGCTGCACTATCGGATTCCACGTCGACAAGGCTACGGGACGCCGCCAACCGGTGGGTGCATTGAACCCATGACAAAAAATGACACCACCGAGATGTCCTTTGACTCGGTCAAGCGAATATTTAAAGCATGACATGTCATTTGGATCTATCTTACTTTAATTAAATAATTTTTAGTTTATTTCGAATCGATCGTTAATGATTCGATTCGATTCGAACCGATTGAATCAATCAGAAAAAAATCGATTAAGCTCGATTCAACCGGTTTGACTGAGTGCTTTGCTCTCCTTAATTTACATGGACAAATGATGCTGCTATCTTCAATTGGGGCACCAAATCGAACCTCTACTTAACCATCACATCACCATCAACCACTCCAATAATTTTTCCTCCAAAAAGAAGCAATCCTTCTCGAGTTATCTACGCGCACACAATAAATTCATACATGTCGGTCCAAAAGAAGCTCGTCACAAGGTAAATGGAGCCACAGGAGTCGTCGTCGTCAGACTCGGTCCGCCTCCGGCCGGCCCAGCCAACCCCGCTAGCTGCCCTACTCGGCCGCGCCGCCGGTCCCCGCGGGGGCCCCTCCGTGCTGGTCCGTGGAACGGCCGCACTCCATCTCCAGGAGCGGCGGGCCGATTGGGCTTACTCCCGCCCCGTGGTGGTGCTCGACATCGCGTGGAACCTGGTCTTCACCGCCGCCTCCGCCGCCGTGCTCTGCGCCACCACTCACGAGCGACCCAACACCCCGGTCCGTGTCTGGCTCCTGGGATACGCGCTCCAGTGCTTGATTCACGTGGTGTTCGTCTGGGGGGAATACAGCCGGCGGCGGCGGCGGAGCGGTGGAGAAAGGAGGCTAGAAGGTGGGGGAGGTGACGGGGAGCAGACGCTGTCGGAATCTGATGCGATGGATAGCGAGGACGATGCAGCTCCTCCTGAAGTTGGAAGTGGACGCCGTGCTAGGTATTGCAGATCTACATATGCTTGATTCTTGATAGAACTAGTGATTTTGTTGTGGCAATTGTTAAGGATTAAGCTAAAAGACTTTCTTCTGTTGTGAGATTAGAGAATTGTGGCCATTGCGTGTGTTAAACCTTGTTAGTGCTTCAAGGGTTTATAATTAAATCTAATGCATGGTGAAACTTTAGGGAAAAAGGGAATCATGATCATCCCAACGCAATGTTCCTCTAAAAATGCAAATTTTTGTGCGTGGACCACAAAATAAGTTAATTTTTTAAGTGTTTTTAGGGCAGACCATACATTTAAGTCGTTCGATTATTTTTGCTCTAGTTGATTTTAATGTTAGATGCTTTAGGTCTGAGTTTCAAGGAAAACCATTCATGTGGTATATTATTTTGTTTTGTTGCTAACAATAATGTCAACTGAAATTGTTTTATTATTTTTTTCTTGAACTTAAATGTTTACAATGTCATCTGATATTCATATCAAATGGAACTTGGAATCTTGTAATTACTTTATGTTGGCCCTTACCATTTCCATTTTGGAGTTTAGGCTCTACTTGAAATTCTTGGTAAAATCCCAGGATTTCAAAACTGGGCCTTAGACTGTTCTGAAGGTTTCTCTTGAATAATTGATGCCTAAACTACCTAAGATCTTGAGATTTACACGTTGATTAGTCTCTTTGATTCATTTAGGATGTGAATTGACCCTCTGGAATTCATGCTTGGGATAATCAGCTATTGCTAACGAATGCTGTCAACAGAATTTTTATTTTATTTTATTTAATTAACTACATTGTTTACATTTTACACCATTTGAAACTTTCTCCTAACTGATACGTGGTGTCTTCAAAGTGACTCTTAAGTTGGGTCTTATAAACCATTTGTCAATACGTATGTCTTTTTCCTTGAATCATAGGTTGAGGCCCTTCTATTGATGTTTTCACTAGTTGGAGGAGAAAAATTTATAAGAAAGAAAGAGTTTATCTATAGGGATACTTGTACCCAAAAGTTCTGCCTGGAATTCAGTGCTAGTCCTCTCTAGATAATCTATTCTTGACATGAGAAACAAGCTGAAAATAACTAATTATTCAAATTAAATCAAATCCATTGATTTTTCTTCAGCTTTTTTCTCCGTTATACAACTGAACAACCATAATTAGAGCCCAATCAATAATCCCGACTATGTGGATAGTGGATTCAGCCATGAAACAGGGCATACTACTGCTTTGATAGGGGAAAGGTCCTTAAATCCTCTCGTTATCTTTGGGTTAAATCCTTGTCTAATCAGCCTTTTGGAATCAAATCCTTGTCCAATCCACACTCCTCTCCTTTCAAATAAGGTCTGAAAGCTAGTTTTGCTTTCCTAGCATGCAGAGAACTTTTTGTTCAAGCTGTTTCCTACTTTATCATGTACTATTTCGAAAAACCTTCTGTCCATTATTATTTAAAGTTGATTGTATGAATCTTAAGGCTCAAAAGTATTTTCTTGGTCCCATATTTTGAATTTGGTTGAAACTTAGCTAGTTTGACTCAATCCAGAGTTCAAATTGGGTCTATTCTGCACTGTATCTAATTTTCACCCCTCAAATTGACCTTGTGACCAAAGTGGATGCCAAAACTCTTTTGCAGGATCGCTTCCTCAATTTACAACCCTGTCCTTTACAACTTCTAGTTTTTGGAAAGGATATCAATGTTGGTGAAGAAAATGAATTTTTTTTTACATGGAACTAAGGAATGTAATTGACACCGATCGATATGTACCAGCTGTTAGTTATTGGGGTCCAACTGTGAACACTGTTCTTTTTTTTATCTTTTTATGTCTTTTTCCTTGATTAGCTAATTTGATTGAGTGTTTGCAGTAATATTGATCACATGACATGTTCTGAGTCCCCCAACTATTAAATAGGGTGATCCAGTTCACAAGGCTCCCACAACTATGGATCTGGGGAGGGTCAATATATGCTATTACTTCTGTAAGCAAAAAAACAACTATGAATCCCACAATCTCAACTGTACTTAAAATTTTTAAGTCCTTTTATTATCTCAGTTGATAAAGGTAAGTGCTATCTGTCTTTTATTTTCAATTCATCTTTAAACACTCTGGCAAATGAGCAAGTGTTCAACATATGACGGCTTATAAAAGTATTCTGATGTTCATTCATTGTTCCTAATGTTGATGGCGACTGGTGCACAGCATTGCCAAACGATGTGAATCTATTAATACTATGGCTTCCTTTATTTGGTGGATTGTTGGCTTTTGTTGGGTGGTCTCCGGTGGTGAAGCTCTCTTAAAGAATGCTCCAACACTCTACTGGTAAATCTACCAAATATCATTTCCTTGTTGTCTTTTCTCTTGTTTGAGTAACCCATACTAGTTTCAACATCATTTAACTTGTTATTGTTGAATGATATGATATGACTAAGCCTGCATTAATATGATTTTATACTATTAATATGTAAATATTTACTCCCTTTTTTAATATACCATGGGATGATGTAATTCTCTCTTTTTGATATGAGAAGATTTATGAGCCATCAGTCATCAACCTAAAGTAGCAACATGGCTTGTAAGCATGTCTACGGTTGCTTTTGGCTTTGTTCCCGAACCGTATGATGCAACCATGACTGAAGACATTGATCTTGTCAACTGGTGTTCAGAGAGCACTTTCTTTTAGCTGAGTCTGTCTATTAAATGGAGCATTACAGGTCACAGACGACTCAGAGTTTTGTCTCACGGGGTACTACAAAATTTTAGTTTTTTTTATTTGACTTGAGAACAATCCACAGTTCTGACGTCAGCAAGTTCTTCATTTCATGTTTACCATGGCAAAGCCAATATTTCTGATGCTTCTAATAAAAATGATAGTAGTCACAGTTCTTTCTTTTGCTAAGATTTAGTTATTATCTGGTGTAGCCTTTAAATTTCCTTGAATTTGCTAGCTTTTTATCTATTTTGAAGAACTTCGTGTCATTTTGAGTGGCAATTAATCTGAGCAATCTTATTTCATTTTCATATGATTGCTTGAAATCCTCTCCTGATCAAAATTGATGATCAGTATATTTATATATCAGGTTCACAAGTCACAGTTTCTCATTCACAATTATGTGACTTGAGTGACTGATAAATTTGACCATAATAGAACCTAGATTTCTTTGAGAAGTCAGATTCTGTAAAAGCGAGGTAAAAGGTTTTTTGTCTACTTCATGGATTTGGACAGGTTGACTGTGGTTTTTCTCACATTTGATGCACTCTTTGCAATCTTCTGTATTGCTTTGGCCTGCATCATTGGAATTGCACTCTGCTGCTGCTTGCCTTGTGTCATCGCAATACTTTGTGCTGTGATAGGCCAGGTGAGAATGAAAGTTTTTTTGGTTTTTTCGCTGTTCAAAAGGGTGCTTTGGGTACTAGCTTGTTTTTTATTCGGCTAATCTATTTCCTTGGCTCCCTTTATGTGTACGAAGGAAGGTGCATCGGATTCAGATATCAGC